ACTAGATGATCTCTGTGGTCCCTTCCAACTCTAAAAAAATTCAGTGAAAAGCCCAGGCAGAACTGAATCTTGCCAGGGACATCAAAGACAATAAGAAAAACTTCTCTAGATATGTCAGGGACAGAGAAGTTGTGGGCCCTCTCCGGAAGGAAACAGGAGACCTGGCCACCCAGGATATGGATACGATCCAAGTGGCCAGGAACCACATCAGGCATGGGGAGTTGGACTAGATGATCTCTGTGGTCCCTTCCAACTCTAAAAAAATTCAGTGAAAAGCCCAGGCAGAACTGAATCTTGCCAGGGACATCAAAGACAATAAGAAAAACTTCTCTAGATATGTCAGGGACAGAGAAGTTGTGGGCCCTCTCCGGAAGGAAACAGGAGACCTGGCCACCCAGGATATGGATACGGCTGAGCTAGTGAACGACTTTTCGGCCTCCGTCTTCACCGGCAAGTGCTCAAACCACACTGCCCAAGTCACGGAAGGCAAAGACAGGGGCTCTGAGAATGACAAACTGCTCACAGTGGGAGGAGATCAGGTTCGAGACCTCTTAAAAAACCTGAAGGTGCATAAGTCCATGACACCTGATGAAATCCATCTACAGGTCCTGAGGGAGCTGGCGGACGAAGTTGCTAAGCCACTTTCCATCATATTTGAGAAATCGTGGCAATCTGGTGAAGTTCCCACTGACTGGGAAAAAAGGAACATAACCCCAATATTCAAAAAAGGAAAAAACAGATGACCCAGGGAACTATGGGCCAGTCAGTCTCACCTCTGTGCCTGGCAAGATCATGGAGCAGATCCTCTGGAAATGTCTGCTAAAGCACATGGAAAATAAGGAGGTGATTGGAGACAGCCAACATGGCTTCACCAAGGGCAAATTGTGCCTGACAAATTTGGTGGCCTTTTACGATATTGACACAGACTTGGTGGACAAGGGCAGAGCAACAGACATCATCTACCTGGACTTGTGCAAAGCATGTGACACTGTCTTGCATGACATCCTGGTTTCAAAACTGGAAAGTCATGGGTTTGATGGATGGACCACTTGGTGGGTCAGGAACTGGCTGGATGGCCCCATTCAAAGGGTTGTGGTCAATGGCTCAATGTCCAATAGGCGGCCAGTGACGAGTGGTGTTCCTCAGGGGTCGGTCCTGGGACCAGTGCTGTTTAACATCTTTGTTGGAGACATGGACAGTGGGATAGAGTGCACCCTCAGCAGTTTGCCGATGACACCAAACTCGGCAGGGCGGTCGACACACTGGAGGGAAGGGATGTCATCCAGAGGGACCTGGACAGGCTTGAGAAGTGGGCTCGTGCAAACCACATGAAGTTCAGCCAAGCCAAGTGCAGGGTCCTACACCTGGGACGTGGCAATCCCAGGCACAAATACAGGTTGGGCAGAGAACAACTGGAGAGTAGCAAAGAAGAATACTTGAGAGTGCTTCTGGACGAGAAGCTCAACATGAGCCAGCAATGTACATTGGCAGCCCAGAAAGCCACCCGCATCCTGGGCTGCATCAAGAGAAGTGTGGCCAGCAGGTCACAAGAGGTGATTCTACCCCTCTGCTCTGCGCTTGTGAGACCCCACCTGGAGTACTCTGTCCAGCTTTGAAGTCCTCAAAGGAGGAAGGACATGGGCCTGTTGGAACAGGTCCAGCGGAGGGCCACAAAGATGATCAGAGGGATGGAGCACGTCTTGTGTGGAGACAGGCTGAGAGAGCTGGGGTTGTTCAGCCTGGAGAAGAGAAGGCTCCGGGGAGACCTTATAGCGGCCTTTCAATATCTGAAGGGAGCCTACAGGAGAGCTGGGGAAGGACTCTCTGTCAGGGAATGCAGTGACAGGACAAGGAGTAATGGTTTTAAATTGGAAGAGGGGAGATTTGGATTAGATACTAGAAAGAAATTCTTTCCTGTGAGGGTGGTGAGACACTGGTCCAGGTTGCTCAGAGAAGTTGTGGCTGCCCCATCCCTGGAAGTGTTTCAGGCCAGGGTGGATGGGGCTTTGAGCAACCTGCTCTAGTGGGAGTGTCCCTGCCCATGACAGAGGGGTTGGAACTTGATGATCTTTAAGCTCCCTTCCAACTCTAACCATTCTATGGTTCTATGATTCTATGGTTGCCACAGCAACAAGTAAGAGCAAACGTCTGTCTCACTGAACAGAAAGTTGACTCTGCTCCACCCCAAACCAGGACATCCAGGAACACTGAAAATCTTTGGACGGATCCTCGGTTGTATCATCAAGTGCATGAATAAAGGATGGCTTAAAACAGAACAGAGCTTAGGAGTAGGCCAAGGGGTGCAGATCCCAGTGTGATGGGCTTCCTGTTCATGATTTGCTCTGCATCAACTGGATGGAGTTGGGTCAGACCCTACCTCACTGTAGAGGTGGAATTCAGTCACTGACCAACAGAAATGGATCCTATCAGACGTGCCACCTGGAGTATCTGTCTTGCACCCACTCTCAATGCAGATGCCTTTCCCGAAGGTCCTGTGCAGTCCCCGCCAACCACAGGCAGTTGTGCTGAAGAGCCCTGGCATCTCCCCTAGCACTGCAGGCCTGTCCATGGCCAGTGAGGAGCTCCCCTGAATTAGGTAGGCACTGGAGGGGTGTCCATGAGACATCTGCTGTTACAGTCAGTGGCAATTTGGTATAGACAGCTGATGGAAAAGGTGGATAATGGCAATGGCAGTGACTACCTCTGGTCCCCTGACTACCTCAATATGCTGTCCTGGATGTAAGGAGTAGGGAAAAGTGCCCTTGTCAGGAAGGTGGGCATCTGCTGGTGGCCAAAGGAATTCCTCACTGAGATTAAAGATGATGCCTCCAGATGCTGCCCTGTCTCTATGAACTGCTCTCAGAGCTCTTTCAGTTCCCTGCACATATCTTGGGCCACCTTTGACACCTGCAACGTCTGAACATCTCCCTGCTGGCCTCCATCTCCAGGAATCACCTTGGAGCTGAGACCAGCAGCTCCCATGCAGCAGCTGCCTCTTTTGTGCCCACCTGCACTAAGGCAAAAGGAATTCCTTCCCCATCCTGTGTCTTGTTGGAAGCCATAGATGAGAGCTGAGTCACTGTCCAGGTTTCCGGTCTCATACCAGAAGGAACAAGAACGTTCTCACGTATAACTGTTTGTGACAGGAGAAAAGACATGGCTGGAAAGAAGTGTCTCTCCAGAGCTGCAACAGAGACCACACATCATTACTTCAGTCTCTTTGCCAGGAGGTTCCCCTGGAGGCACAGGGACACCTCGAGGGAGCCCAGAGGGAGCAGAGAAAGTGACATCTTGGGCTGTTCCTCTGCTGCTGAGGGCCGGGCTCCTGGGATGGAGGGAGCTCCTGGCCACGGGGCAGCGCTGCAGAGAGACAGCTCTGCCCAGGAGCAGCTCCTCTGCCAAGCCCAGCAGGGCTGGGGACACTGCCTGCAGGCAGGGAGAGGAACCATGTGAGGCCAGGAGAGCTTAAAAGCATTCAGGAATGGGATCAAGCTGAGAGCTCTCTGTGGGAGAAACTTTCACAGGCCTTGACACAGTAAGTGTCTGGCTGCAGGGCATTGACTCTGCAGTTGCTGGAGGGATCTCCAGAAGCTGCACAACCCACCGCCCATGGGATCTGTAAGTAGAGCTCTCACAGTTTCTCTAGCATGGAGGAGAAGGAGAACTTGTGGAGCAGGGCTTCCCTGCTGCAGGGGCAGAGGGACAGGGCATGATGTGTCTCTCTGGTGCAGAATAATGCAGAGAGGCTTCCTGGAGCAGTCTCCTACAGCTGGCATAGCCCATGTCTCATGGGATCTGTCAGGAAAGTTCTCAAGGTTCAGTTGGTGTTCAGAAGGATGTGCTTGAGAGCAGGGCATCCTCACCACATCATCAAAGGGCCAGGACATGTGGGCTGCCTTCTCCCAGGGATGGCTGCAGGGCTGTGAAGGTGGGTGTGCAGCCAGGGATGCCCAGGGCTGTCCTTCTGAGCAGGGCCCCTGTGTCCCAGGGAACTGTGAGATGGAGCAGGAACACAGCTGTCTGCCAGGATCAGCTCTCGGCTGGCTGTGCTTTGGGTTTTCAGCTCTTGGTGGGCTGGATGGGGAGTGAGAGAATGGAATCTACATTTCCATTCTGTAGAAGGCTATGACACCCCAGATCTCATTAGCACTTCTCTGAGCTCCTCCTTACCCCGTGCACATCCAGAGATGCCCCTGGGCCATTCCCTGCTGCAGAAGGTGTCTGCAGGTCAGAGCTGAGCCCTCAGCAGCTGGGATGGAGTCTCTGAGCACTGAAAAGGAGGAGATATTGGGACAAAGAAACAGCCCCCATCAGGCAGGAGTGAGAGGGAGCTTCTGCAGGAAAGATGATGGGAGGGGGGATTCCAGCACCTCCCTGCCATCCCCTGAAGTGCAGATGCCTTCCCTGCAGACACTCCCTGGTCTCCTCTACCACAGAGTAGACTCCCCAACCCCTTCATATCCCAGTGTCTTAGCCCTCAGTGTCCTTCCCAGCAGTGCAACCACCAAAGAGGAGACATGCTGGAGTGTCTGACTGTGTCTCCCTCTCCTGACTCTCTTGGCAGAAGAACTTTGCCATGTTCCCCTCATGCCCCTGCTGTCCTTGTCCTTTTCCTTCTGTTGCCAGTGGTGGGGGGTGAGGATTCAGGTGCAGCTCCAACACTGATGCTACATGTTCTGTCATGCAGATGTGTCCATGGAGGAAAAACATGCAAATCCCTAAAATCTGTAGCTCTGGGTACTGCAGTGTGTTTTAGTTTCTGTTTAATAGTTGCTATGAGGGCAGGACACAATCCTGTAGAGCTCACAGCTCCCTGAAGCATCATCAACCAGTACCCATCAGAGCATTCAAAGAGGACATGCCAAAGGTCATTCCAAAAAGAAAGAGGCAGTTTTGAATGGGTCTCTGAGAAAAATTAAATACTTTTTTGAAGAGAAATCTGCCCTATCTTCTCACTACCTTTCCTTCCATTGACAGGTCTCCAGGCCTAGGGGAAGCAAATGTCCAACAGCAGCTCCATCACCCAGTTCCTCCTCCTGGCATTTGCAGACACACGGGAGCTGCAGCTCTTGCACTTCTGGCTCTTCCTGGGCATCTACCTGGCTGCCCTCCTGGGCAACGGCCTCATCATCACTGCCATCGCCTGTGACCACCGCCTCCACACCCCCATGTACTTTTTCCTCCTCAACCTTGCCATTCTTGACCTAGGCTCCATCTCCACCACTCTCCCCAAAGCCATGGCAAATTCCCTCTGGGACACCACGGCCATCTCCTACTCAGGATGTGCTGCCCAGGTCTTTTTCTTTTTCTTTTTTATATCAACAGAGTATTGTCTTCTCACCATCATGGCCTACGACCGCTACGTTGCCATCTGCAAACCCCTGCACTACGGGACCCTCCTGGGCAGCAGAGCTTGTGTCCACATGGCAGCAGCTGCCTGGGGCAGTGTTTTTTTCTATGCTCTCCTGCACACAGTCAATACATTTTCCCTGCCCCTCTGCCAGGGCAATGTCTTGGACCAGTTCTTCTGTGAAGTCCCCCAGATCCTCAAGCTCTCCTGCTCAAACTTGTACCTCAGGGAAGCTGGGCTTCTTGTGATCAGTGTCTGTTTAGGCTTTGGTCTTTTTGTGTTCATTGTGGTGTCCTATGTGCAGATCTTCAGGGCCGTGATGAGGATCCCCTCTGAGCAGGGACGGCACAAAGCCTTTTCCACGTGCCTCCCTCACCTGGCCGTGGTCTCTCTGTTTCTCAGCACTGTCATGTTTGCCTATCTGAAGCCTCCATCCATTTCCTCCCCATCCCTGAACCTGGTGGTGGCAGTGCTCTACTCAGTAGTGCCTCCAGCAGTGAACCCTGTCATCTACAGCATGAGGAACCAAGAACTGAAGGAGGCCATTCGGAGGCTTATTTCATGGACGTTTTTCAAGAGTGACAAATTTGCCGCTTCTCCCCACCAATGATTCCCCCTCTATCTGATTACGTTTTTGTTTTTCTTTTTCTTTTTAATTTGTTATTTTGAACCATTATACTTATCATTATTGCTGTTGTTATTCTCATTCATGTTTATTTTATTATCTGCAGAATTATTTGCATTTCCATCACTGCATCTGAGACGTACCCTCCTTGTGTCACCTGGTTCCCTTATAAAAGTTTGTTTAACAGGGGCTCAGAGCTGGTCTATTCATAGCGTCATAGCGTCTCTGTAACAAAAGGGGATCTCCCCAGTGCCGTGCTTTCATGCCAGGATCTTTCTCCAAACAGGGCTGAGAACTGCACCTTTGAAGTTCCTCTTCCTCCATGGGTTCAAGAATAAAAAGCTTAGTGTCTCTTTGTGACTTATCGGAGACATAGGACTGGATTTAGGAGTCACCAGTTGGTGTCTCGTGACAAGTAACGTGGTGAATTTAACTGAGGGAAGTACCCAGGGCTTTCACATGGGTGACATTAAGGACACCCATCATCTGCAAGGGGAATCTGGAGTGGTCTGGAGAGCCTGCTGGTTCTCCAGCATGTGCCTGGGGTTTTGTTGCGATGAAAGAGGTAGGCAAAGATGGGATTTGGGGGCTTAAGTACAGGACAAGTGCAGATCTCCTCTGGGCACTCTCCAGTTCCTTCCCACCTCTCTACAGCAGGAATTCTCACGGAGGGACACACAGGTGGGTGAGGCCACACCACGGCTCAATGGAGGGGGACGAAATCAGGAATTTAACAAACTCACAGAAGTTAAGAGATATAAAAGACCTATTACCATAGGTTGTTTAGTTCTTCCCTGATAACCACAAAAAAGACATTGAGGTGCTGGAGCAGGTCCAGAAAAGGGCAACAAAGCTGTTGAGGGGTCTGGAGCACAAGTCTCGTGAGGAGCAGCTGAGGGAGCTGGGGGTGTTCAGCCTGGAGAAGAGGAGGCTGAGGGGAGACCTTCTCTCTCTCTACAACTCCCTGAAAGAAGGGTGTAGAGAGGCAGGGGTCGGTCTATTCTCCAAAGTCACAGGCAATAGGACAAGACGAAATGGCTTCAAGTTGGTGTTAGGAACAATTTTTACACTGAAAAGGGTTATTAAGCATTGGAATGGGCTGTCCAGGGAGGTGGCTGAGGAACCATCCCTGGAGATATTTGAAAGATGGGTTGACATAGTGCTCAGTGACATGGTTTAGTGGTGGTTTTCATCAGAGTTAGGTTGATGATTGAACTAGATGATCTGAAAGGTCCCTTCCAACCTAGACGATTCTATGATTCTACGATTCTATTATTCTATGAAAACTCAAGAACCCTGGAGTGGTGACTCTCATCCTAATAAATTGCTCTTTGCAGCTGGCCTTGTCCATGGTGAGCATGAACCACTGGCTCATACGGTGTCCCTCGTAATCCCTAGGCCATTCTTCTCACAGTGCCTCCTCAACCTTTCAGGAACTTGCTGGCCCTCATATACGGGGATTTTTTGCCCTCTAATGCAAGACTGGCCACTTCTCCTTGTCAAATGGGAGAGTTTGCTGCTGGCTAAATCCCAGAGTTTTGCAAAGTCCCCCTGGACTGAAGCTCCATTTTGTCAGTTCTTAATCTTTGCATGCAGACACCTCACCGTGGTTGTGGTGATCCACTGGCACAAGATAACAGCATGAAGAGCTGCAAGGCACTACAGGGAAAAAACAACAAAAAAGATTACATTAGTACAGAAAAAAAGCACTACAGGACAGTACAGGAAAAAAGAAGACAGTATAACACTACTGTATTCTGCTCTACTGCCCAACATAGGAATCAGTTCAAGTTGGTGTTAGGAACAATTTTTACACTGAAAAGGGTTATTAAGCATTGGAATGGGCTGTCCAGGGAGGTGGCTGAGGAACCATCCCTGGAGATATTTGAAAGATGGGTTGACATAGTGCTCAGTGACATGGTTTAGTGGTGGTTTTCATCAGAGTTAGGTTGATGATTGAACTAGATGATCTGAAAGGTCCCTTCCAACCTAGACGATTCTATGATTCTACGATTCTATTATTCTATGAAAACTCAAGAACCCTGGAGTGGTGACTCTCATCCTAATAAATTGCTCTTTGCAGCTGGCCTTGTCCATGGTGAGCATGAACCACTGGCTCATACGGTGTCCCTCGTAATCCCTAGGCCATTCTTCTCACAGTGCCTCCTCAACCTTTCAGGAACTTGCTGGCCCTCATATACGGGGATTTTTTGCCCTCTAATGCAAGACTGGCCACTTCTCCTTGTCAAATGGGAGAGTTTGCTGCTGGCTAAATCCCAGAGTTTTGCAAAGTCCCCCTGGACTGAAGCTCCATTTTGTCAGTTCTTAATCTTTGCATGCAGACACCTCACCGTGGTTGTGGTGATCCACTGGCACAAGATAACAGCATGAAGAGCTGCAAGGCACTACAGGGAAAAAACAACAAAAAAGATTACATTAGTACAGAAAAAAAGCACTACAGGACAGTACAGGAAAAAAGAAGACAGTATAACACTACTGTATTCTGCTCTACTGCCCAACATAGGAATCAGCACAACTATGTTAGAAACATCTTTGTGCCATGAAGAGAGGGCAGAAAGGAAACAAAAAGAGGGCCAGTGGGGAAAGAGCAGAGTTGGGCTGTTTGTAGAGCAATCTCTGAGGAAGGTTAAAGAGAAGAACTTGGGAGGGAGAAAGAGGAAAAAGGAAAAAAAATGTTCAGCTCCAGATATGATGATGCTGGTTTCAGGTAACCCGACAAGCAACACGGAGTCACTGACTTAGTTCACTGAATTTTACTGAATTTTTAGAGTTGGAAAGAACCATAGAGATCATCTAGTCCAACTCCCCTGCTGAAGCAGGATTGTCTAGAGCGTGTTAGAGCATGATACTCAGGACTGCATCAGGCGGGTCTTGAACATCTCCAAAGAAGGGGACTCCTCAACCTCCCTGGGCAGCCTCTTCCAGGGCTCTGTCATACTCACTGCCCTCTAATGCAAGACTGGCCACTTCTCCTTGTCAAATGGGA